ATAGAACTGGGGTGCATGCCAGAGGTGTGGGGAGTGAGAGGATTCACCAGAGACAGAGTGGGGAGCAGAACAGACAGGTCTACTGAAATACACTGCTAAGGGGAGCAGCGGGTGAGACAGGAGAGGTCTGCTGTCCCATATGTGGGTTAGCTCCCTGGCTGGGGATCGAACTCAAGCTACAGTGGTGATAATGCTGAGACTTAACCCTATGCCACCAGGGAGGCCCCAGAAATTTTCTTCAATAACTAATTAAAACATTCCATCTTTGTATATTCAGCCCATTTTTTGGATTGGCATCTTTTTATATTCTCAGTAGGTATTTGTCCCCATTTATTGAGAAACCTCTCTGGTCTTATTAAGAATGTGTCTCTGGTCTTTTTAAGAATTTGGTCTTATTAAGAATTTGTCCCAGGTAGTCATCTGTTTAGCCACAGACATAAGACTAGAATGCCATGTTCTTTTGACATCTGAACCGGTATGTTCTACCACCTAATTGAGTGAGTTGCTATGTTTCCATTAAGAGGTTGTTAAAATTCAGAGCACTTCTCTAGGGCCTTTGATCTTAGAAACAGTCTTCATTTGATTGTAGGTCTGACAAAATCAGACTGCCTTTGCACACACTATTCTTCATATGGAATTCTTCCCCTAGTTCACCAGGTTAAGGGATACACATCCTGCAAAGCTCAGCATAGTTGCCCTGACCACAGCTACTTTCCCTGTGCCACACCACTATGATCTCCCTTGTGCTAGTCTTATATCTTCCAACTTGTTCCATTTCTTGTACCACAATAAACGATGTGTGTATGTGCGTATATGTGTGGTTTTCCCTACAATGGACCTTATTTTTTTTAATTGGGAGTCTTTTATATAATTGCAACATTTAAGAAGTTGCTCGATAATTCACCTGTGCCTGAAGAAAACATTGATAGAAGAAACAGACAAACGGGAAAAAAAATAACATGGGGGTGAAAATAAATACCCTGAGCTTGGTCAGTTTGTGCATCTGAGGGAAGAGTGATTACCTGTAATGTGGTGTGAAATTTTGGTGTTGTGGACAACACTTTTCTTCTTGGACACCAACAAATAGCAGCACAACTGCCAATCAATGTAGAGTATTCGAAGAAGTCCAAATTACTTAGCTTTTTTCCCCAATGAAAACCTACAGGGGGGCCTCCCTGGTGGCGCAAGGGGTTAAGCACTGCACTATGAGGCAATCGCCAGCCAGCCAGGGAGCAGCCCACATGGCGCAGCAGACCTTTCCTGACTCGCCTGATGCTCCCCTCAGCAGTGTATTTCAGTCAGTCTGCCTGTTCTGCTCCCCACTCTGTCTCAGGTGAGTCCTCTCACCCCCTGCATCTCTGGCCTGTACCTCTTGTATGCATGGATGAATAAATCTTAAAAAAAAAACAAACCCTACAGAGTAAGATGGAGGTGGAGGGTGGGGGAAACTCCTATAAACTGTGTAGGTCATTTGTCACAGTAGGTAAGGACCATGGAAGGGAAGATGGAAGGTACCACACAGACCATCAGTTCAGCTTTGATACTTAGTAATATTTAAAAATATTCCTGTTTAGCATGTTTGCTTAGATGAACATGCTGATTTGGGTCACTGTAGAAGGAACACTTGCTTTTTCATGCCACAAATGAGCGGTCATTAAGAACTAGGTATGGTATGTTTCTAAATGTAATGCTTCCAAAACTGGTAAGGTGTGTTTAACACCATCTCCGTTGTCCTGAAAAAAAAAAAGGCTGGGCCTCCCCGGTGGCACAGCGGGTTGAGCGCAGCGCTGTGAAGCTGTCCACAGCCTCTGCAGCAAGGGTTCGATTCCCGGCTGGCCAGGGAGATACCCATATGGCACGGCAGACCTCTCCAGTCTTGCCCGCTGCTCCCCTCAGCAGTGTATTTAAGTTAGTCTGCCTGTTCTTCTCCCTGCTCTGCCTTTGGTGAATTCTCTCACCCTTCCGTGCCTCTGACTGTACCCCAGTTCTTGTATAAATAAATAAATCTTTTTAAAAAAAAAGGCTGGGCTTTCGCACGTATACTTTTCAAAGCATCCATCATAAACATGTAGAGAATGCAGGCCAACTTAATAAAAAATGAAGTTTAGAGTTAAATTAATTATATACCTTTTCCACCTATACTGTGTCTGTTTTTCAACACCCATCAAGCCAATTTCACTGTAAAAATGTGAAAGTGTCATTTCAAAGCCCACCGGGATCTTATCCTCCCCAGTGACGGCTGAGGCTCAGTGGTAAAAAGGGGCCTTCAGGGAAGGCTGTGTAAAGGCAGCTTTAACATTTTCAGTGAAAAAAGAAAAAAAGCCAACTTGTTTGTGGTTTTGATTTGCTTTTAATAACAAGCTCCCTCAACCAAAACTGATGAATTGGCATAAGAACAAGGGTACAAAAGAACATCAAGGAGCCTTCCAAAATGCTAACCAAAGGATGAATCCTCTGCTTTGGGTGGCCATCATTTTATCCCTCAGAACCAGGAGATAAAAAGATGCAAAGCTTTTAATATATGCCGCCTGAATATATAAAGGAACCGATTAGAGCATGTGGCCAGCGGTGTTGTCTTAATGCTTTATAATCACATTCCATACTTTAAGCAAATGCAAATTCTGCTGCATGCTGCCCTTTAAAAGGCAATTTCACTGCATACTGAATTGGAAGTAATCACTGATACTGCACAAACAAAATCTCTGTTGGGTAAACACCAAAGCATTTCCCACACACTAATGCATTTTAAAATAGCTAACTTTATTGTCAGTGAAAGGATAGGCACAAAGTGGATTCAAACCTGCTTAACTTTATTGGAACTAGCTCAGTTGATTACAGAACGGGGTCTCAATCATTAGGGGGCCACATACATTTCAAAGCAAAGGCAATTCTTCTCCAGCCATCTGCCAACCCCACCTATTCATTTTACAAACACATGCCATTAATCACAAGGGAGGCCAGGAGGAGGTTTGAGGGCTGCGTGTAAACCCATCGTTGCTACCCGAAAAAAATAAACAAACTCCCAACACTTGTTCTACTGATGATGGATGGCACTTGGAAGATATATTTCCAAGGATCATGGCGGGCTGCAATCGGTGGCAATTAGCCCATAGCTGATGCCTTCCTTTGAAAACATGTTCAGTAAGAATGCACACATTTTAACTAACACATTCCATATGTGAACGAGCAATTGAGATAACAGGAGAGTGCATGGCTAACACATATGAGATTATAATTTATAAAAGTTGATGCATGTGAGTGTTTAAGCTCTTCATAGAAAGTAGTTTGCACAGTTTGTTCATTTCAAATAATTGTACCCACCCAACAGCGTAACAAAGAAAAGAGAATGCAACAGATCTCATAGGATTCCTATGGCAGATATTTCAGGTTCCCGTTAGCCTGTCATCCTGAAACTCAAGAGCAGCATTGAAAATAAATCCTTCATTAAAACAATAATCAAAATACATGATTTTAGAAGCATGTTCAAGCTACATTTATTTAATAAGAAAATTAAGAGGAATTTTACATCAAGTAAAGTTTGTTCTAATGAAGTTTTTCTGAACAGGGGACATCGGGGTGCAACTGACTTAGAAGGTCCCCAGAGACCACCAGGCCATATATGTTAAGACAACAAGGTCACCCTTATGTCCTCAGGTGACACTAAAATGCATAGATAAGTGGGAGCCTGGAAAGATCCCCCAAATGTTACATCCACACTATTGTGAAAAGGTGGCTAACTTGAGATTTCTCCCATAAACCTGAATTTTTAAAATGACACCTATTAGAGACTTTATGAAAAGGCTGAATCTATCTTCTTCGTAAACATAATACACTGACATGGACTTCTTCCATCTCTTAGATGCACTATATTATTTTAGCAAATTACCTGGGATTAAACACAGCCAAAAAGGACTGCCTCTGGTGTGAGGGGGCAGAGATGTTGTGGAAAGTTCACAATACTTTGCAAGGACTTCTTCCTTTCCCAAATATACAAGTCTAAAGAGATGGCTGCCACACCGTGTGGAATGTATGACAACTGTCACCTTACAAAATGTGGTTCAAGTCATGGTTCCCAGGGCTAGCAAAAATTCTGGCAATGTGCTATAACCATGAAAGGAGTGGATATGGGTTTTTTTTTTTATTTTGATGTATTTATGTGGATAGAAAGTAGTTCTCCTGAAATGTGCTAGTTGTTATTTCTAATAGTTGAGGTTTTTTTCCTTATGACTAAAAGGTAATAGGTATGAGTATGAACACAACGGCACCTCTAACTCTATTTGGGATTCACTTGATAACTGAGCACGAATATGTAGTATGATCACGTCATTATTGAAAATGTCATGACTGGCTAAAAAATCACATCACCCTTCCTCTCTTCTCTCTCTCTCTCTAGATACACACACATACACACACCACACAAAATAATTCATTGGGAAGATAGTTAGGAAAAATATAACAATGCTGTTAACTGTGCCATTCCTATACTCACAGAGGAAAACCCTATAAAATGATCTGAGACAGCAAGAGAAGTGAGGTTGATTCTTAAGGGGATCCTTCATGTGACTCAGTATTGAAATAAGGATCAGGAAAGGGAAAAACCTTGCAAAGGCACTTCAAGAGAGGCAAGAGAAAAATTTAGAAATCTGGACAAACTGCTCAAAATCAGGGGCATTTTACAAAATACACACAGGCCCAGATCACAAAGATGCCTTTTCTTAAAATGAGGTTTTTGGGGTTTTTGAAAATATAAAAGGGTTTCCCATAATAAGCAATGGCAGAGTAGACAGCTGTGATCTTGAAGTCACTAAATATTTCCAGGTCTCAGATTCCTCATCACTAAAATGAGGGAGTGGGGCTATATTGCTAAAGTTCATTCCAGCCACTATGCTTCACGATGTAATATATCAGGCCTATTTCTTCTATTAATCTGGTTTCTAACTAATACATCCCCAAACCTCTAAGCCCCCACCCTCATCTAACTCCCCCCCTCCCTTCACCCTCCCAAACCCCTAAAAAACTGATCTTAATGAGACTGTCTGTAGATTTGTCACCTTAATGAAGGGCAGAGAGGTGACACAGACCAGAGGCCTATGGCAAAAGGCAGCCCTTCTGTTTCTGGGGACAGCCCCTCTGGCAGAGCCTGGAACCATGGCCTCCTTGGTCCTTGCCTGCACGTGCATTTTCTGTTGCTCTCCAGAAGGTATTCCAAGATGGAGTCACTGGCAGTGAGAAGAAGTAGCTAAGTATACTGCTGTAGCCCACCTCTCCTGCAACTGCAGCACAGTACTTTGGGCTTCTGATGCTATTCCCTTGGAGGTACGAGGCAAATATGCCTTTTAAGATGTCATGCTAAGAATTTGGGAAAAGAGAAGTAATTTCAAAGAAGTCACCAGAAATTCAAAGCATTTGACCGGTCACCAAAAATGCTTCCTCATTTTGCAAATGATTGGCAATTTGAGACTGGTGACCTAGCCAGTGAATCTGTGCTGGAGAAGAAATGAACACTAGGCAGACTGGTCTCAGGAAAAGTCAGTGAGCTGTGTTCCTGGCTACAAACTGACCACAAAAGTCTGCACACAGCAACTCATGCAACAATCCATTAAGGCCTCTGATGGTCTCACTCCCCCTAAGAGAGAGGAAGTTGTATATCACTCAGCTAACTTACTTTCCTAGCATCTGAAAGCAATATATTAATTATCCAAATGCATAAATTACTCCCAAGTATATATATGAATGTATTAACCTCCAGGAGGGAACCAAAAGAATCCACTTCCAAAGCACCACTGAAATGAAATAAACACAATTCTCTGGCACAGGGCAGCTGGGAATTGGAAGGGAAAATTAGCTCCAGCACCCGTCCACATTCTAGTACCCCCTGCCTTTTCTCCAGCTTATCTAGCTCCTAAAACTATTTCCTTTCATGAGCCCAAGGTGAGAGCTCTCTCTGGATGCTGTCTAGATGGTAACAATGCAAAACAGCACGCACACAAATTCTCTTCGGCTTCCCGCTTCTGAACTACATGTTACAAACTGTCTTTCAAACATACTGTGCTCTTCAATGAAAAATGATCTGAAGTATGGAAATGCTAGACAAATTTAGGAAGATTGAAATCATTGGCATATATCCAGCTATCACAAGTCCCAGTATTTTTATAAATCCCCACAATAAACCTTAGAGCACATTCTGATTAATTTGTCTTTAAAAGTACACACTAAGTGTACCAGAAGAGGCTGGAACTCGTATGGTATTACTTAAGTACTATGTTGTTTCAGTAAAAAGGTCCTTAAAAACATCCCCCCACCCTTGTCTTCACCCTCAACATAAGAACAACAAAAGGGAAAAATGATTAAAAGCATTCTTGCTGATAAACTGCAACTCTTGACTAGGCCCTTCAGATGAGATATTCCACCATCTCTGCATCAGGCTCCTGTCCCAGGATCTGAATGGCAGCTTTTCTTTCCAGAGTATTGCAGTGGAAAACAGGGCCATCTGAAAGGAAATAAAGGGTTGGAAAGGATTTAGGGACAAGGTAAAAACTCAGATTTCTAGAAATAGCTTTAGAGCCCCCATGAAGCCAACGGCAGAGGGGATGATGCCTGCCACCCCCCATTATTCACCTGAGCACGGACTTCTGCTGGGAGAACCACCTTTACTCATTCCCATTCCCACGCCATGCCCAAGAGTCATTTCCAGACTCTCTGCCATTATCTCTTCAGATTAGTTCCCTTTACAACATGAGAAACCCTTTCCCATTGACCCACTGTGGCGGGAGAGCAGGCGCCAGCAAATAGATCGATCATTGCAGACGGGACTGAAAGTCCCCTGTCAGGGAGGAAGAAACATTACCCGTCTTGTCTGGATTGCAGGTCAGACTTGGTATAGACAAACGACGTGGTCCAGAACCGGCAGCTGGACTTGCAGGAGCCTCAGACGGACCCACAGCTGGAGCTGAAGCCGGAGATGGAGTAGCAGCCACAGTCGGAGCTGGAGTTGGTGCCTGAGTCGGAGCTGGAGCAGAAGCTTGAGCCGCTGCTGGAGCCGGAACCGGAGTTGAAGCTGGAGCTGGAACCGGAGCCGAAGCAGCTGGAGCAACCTGAACAGCAGCAGCGGCAGCAGCAGCAGCAGCAGCAGCGACGGCAGCAGCAGCGGCAGCAGCAGCAGGAGCAGGAGTAGGAGCAGGAGCAGCAGGAGCAACAGCAGAGGCAGCAGCTGGAATCTGAGCAGCAGCAGCTGGAGAAACAGCAGCAGCAAGAGCAGCAGTTGCTGGCGGTGGGGTGGCAGTGGCAGCAGCAACAGCTGGTGCAGCAGCAGCAACTGGAGCAGCTACCATGGTGGTGGTGTTGGTGGCAGCGGTGGCAGTATTGGTGGCAGCATTGGCAGTGATGGCAGCAGCAGTGGCGGCAGCAGCAACTGGAGCAGGAACAGAGATGTGAGCAACAGCTGTGGTTTTGTTCGGTTCCGTTCCCCGTTCTGTTTGGGTGCTGCAGTCTCGGCTGCCCGTCTTAGAGTGAGCTGAGAGCAGGGGAGTTGAGGGCGGCACCGGTGAGGGTGTAGAAGGGACAGATTCCCCACGGTAGTCTCCACCCAGAAGGATCCCTGCAAAAGAAAAGAGTGAAAGAGGTTAGAAAACTGTAGGTTATGCAAATACAGACCTCTGATTTCCTTCTCCCTTGCTGGAGATTCAGGAGAATTCTGCACTGGACTCAAGTCTAAAATCCTTATCATGCAAGAATCCAGTGGTCAGGAGCCTCCTATCACAGCTAAAAGTTCCTTTCAAATTTAGTGGATTCCTTTGGTTCTCATTCCAACCCCCAGCACAATGTATCAATGTATTAAAGCTTTAAGTGTCCTGGTATCTGTTTTCATGTATTTTCCCAATAGTGATTGATTTCTACCAAGTCGTCAGAACACTTCTACACAGTTTCACTTATAACCAATACCATCCACTATCAGACAGGTAGAAAGGATCAGAGGGAAAGAAGTTCGTGGTCATAGATGAACATGATAATAACTGTGTAATCTAAGGTTCGAAACACGATCATGGTCCCCCAAACGCCTCCTCTAGTCAAAGGACAGTGCAAGTGCCAGAGGGCCAAGAAAGGTATTTGGAACAAAAAGATGGAAAATAAAAAAAATATATAGCTTGCTTCCTCAGACTTGAAAAATGTGCCTTGTGGTAGCCACAATACTTCTGGGCTTTTGATGAGTGGAGAACGAATGGAAAGAAAAAGTACATTCTGTTCTCATCTCAGAACATTCTGGTCACAAAAACCTGCCACCCGGCTCTAGTTAGCTTCCCTGGAACTCCCAGTCCTCCTATTATATGGGAGGAAGGAACACAGAAAAAATTTGGAATTTTGGCATTTTGAATGACATGAATGGTGCATGGGCTTTGGACAAAGACAAAAAGGTCCCGCAGGACAAAGGTCAAATCTGAGAAATGATTAGAGAAAACTGAAGCTGTCTTTCTTCCCAACCAAAGAGAACTCAGGATTCTTCTAAAGCCTTGGCTTCTATCAATGTTCTCTCAGCATCAATGAAAATTCAGTGTGGAGGAGCTGCTTAGTGTGCAGTTTTCCTCTCAGGAGGACAAAACCTGATCTAGTGTGTCTTCCTCTCTAGAATCTGTATTATTAACCCCTTTCCTTGCTACATGGACGGGTATCTAAATCGGGGTTCCCTTTATTATTTTTTTTAATTTATTTATTTATTCAAGCACTGGGTACAGTCAGAAGCGCGGGAGGGTGAGAGGATTCACCAGAGCCAGAGCGGGGAGCAGAACGGGCAGACTGACGAAGTACACTGCTGAGGGGAGCAGCGGGCGGCAGGAGGGGTCTGCGCGCCATGTGGGACCCTCGCCGGTGGCCAGGGATTGAACCGGCGCTGCAGAGGCTGCGGGCAGCTTCGCAGCCCAGAGCTCAACCGCTGCGCCACCAGGGGAGGCCCAATCAGGGTTCCCTTTAAACGTGTCACTTTAGGGCCTCCCCGGTGGCGCAGCGGTTGAGCGCTGGGCTGCGAAGCTGCCCGCAGCCTCTGCAGCGCCGGTTCAATCCCTGGCCACCGGCGAGGGTCCCACATGGCGCGCAGACCCCTCCTGCCGCCCGCTGCTCCCCTCAGCAGTGTACTTCGTCAGTCTGCCCGTTCTGCTCCCCGCTCTGGCTCTGGTGAATCCTCTCACCCTCCCGCGCTTCTGACTGTACCCAGTGCTTGTATAAATAAATAAATAAATGTTTAAAAAAAATAATAAACGTGTCGCTTTAATTTTCCTTATTCACTGTCATTACCCAGGCTTCCCTTCCAGCTCTTGTCATCCCTCTTCTCCTCCATGATGGGCGTGCCAGTCAGGGTGGAAGAGTGGGAGAGCAAGCCTGATCCAGCATTGGAAATGGACATCAGAGACTTTGCTGGGCGCATGGACGAGAGCTGCTCTGTCTTACTTGGCTCTTTCCGGGAACGCTGCTGGAGCACTTTGATCATGGCATCCTTCTCAATAATCTGGGCGTGAAGGGTCTTAATCCTAGGAGGCAATGACAAAGAACATATAAAGACCGATTGTCACCTCATGTTCAATTCTCACTGCTGACATGAACTTGAACTTCCATTACCGTTCCAACTAAAGGGTGGTCTCCTTATTTCTGAGCTGGAAGACACAGGATGAGTGTAGTACATTTTTAAAATGCATTTCTGCACACTCCAATGGATGCAAGAGCATCCAGACGTTGTTGCTTAAATCTTAAGAGGCCAAAGTAAAATATCAGCAAAAAGAAAGACCACAGTGGGTGCTATAAGTGAAGAATCTGAGTCACTGGAAGTGATGGACTCAATGAGAACATGAGTACTTTTATGAATGGGGCACAACTTTCAGGTTTAAATAAACGTTCATGAGTTTACAAGAGACATCAGGTATCCTACTCCCCTATTTGAATGAATGTTCCTTTATGGAGCACTCTGCTGTATCACAGAGTTGAGGTGCAGTGCTAGAAAGAAAATCCTAGAGTGTAAATGCCAACAATTCGGTTCTGGCACAGAGCAGATGGAAAATAATCACCAAGGTCAATGGGGAAAGTAATGCTACTCAGAATTCCAGAGTTCATAGGAATCAGCAAGGCAAAGGTCGTCACAACTCAAATCCTAAGTAACAGATTGGCAGGAGTGCAGGGGTGCAGAGGTTGGGGATGGCTGCAGTATCAGGTTTCCCAGCCCTGAGTGAAAATGTGTACCTTTCTCTGCTGGCATATCTGGTCTCTATACCAATTTCTTAGATCAACCATAGACTAGATCAACATTTTACCTGCCCTCCATGTCAAGGCAACGCTTGTTGGCCATCAAGATTTCTTCCTCTTCCTTCTGGATGCGAGCCTCTAGAGCTGTATCATAGCTGGTGTTAGGAGAGTGGCTGATGACTGTTGTGTCCCTGAGAAAGAAAATAGCAGCAATAATGATGGGAAGGCAGCAAAATCAATGAATCCTAGTTCCCTCCTGTGTCAAAGGTATTGCTGGAATACCCTAACCTGGGAGCAAACTCATCAGGAACATTGGTTTCTAAGTGACATCCTGATAAGAGCTTCCAAGATCAAAAGGGTTCAGCTTTCAATTCTAGAAGAGATTACTGATATGGACATAGTTGTAAAAGTCAGTGAAGTTCTATGAGATGCAGACAGGTTTGCCTTCAGAACTAGACAGACATTCTCCCAAAGCCTGCTGGCAGAGTCCCTTCAAGTTTTCAGATCATGACCAGGCAGTAGGAAGATATTTATTTTATGTTTTATATTATTATTTATATTAGATTTCCACTTTATTCTCATGACAGTCATGAAGGGGATAAGGAAATCAGCAAATGTATTGTTACAGACAATAGTAGCTATATCTGAGTACTAGAAACAAACTGTAGATATTTCAACAGGTAGCACCAGATAGGGCATGTGAGCTGAGTGAGAAGCAGGAACTTTGAGTCAAAGCCACCTGGTTCCTATCTAACCTACATCTGGAACATTCTAGCACCAAGTTAATGAGGCTACTCCAAATAAGTGACTATTCTCGGCCAGAGTTCCAACTGCATGAGGGACCATCATGTTTCAACTAAACATGTCTCAGGACATTAAGTCAAAGATTAATTAATGAGGAGAGGACTGAGTGTGGGAGGGGAAGGGAAGGGAGAGGTGAACAGAGAAGAGGGGAGGGGAGAGGAGGGGAGAGGAGGGGAGAGGAGGGGAGAGGAGGGGAGAGGAGGGGAGGGGAGTGTCTAGCTCATGGGCAAGGTGGCTGTCTACACAGCACAGGAAAAGGAAATATGGGAATCCTATATTTTCCTGATAACTCAGGTCATGCTTCTTTCATTTAGCTCATTTACAACTAAGAGGGAAGAGAATGGAGAAAACTGGATCCTATTTGAGTAACTTAGACCGAAAGAAAAAAAAAAGGATTAGGGAGAATATTGATGTAATTATATTGCTCTTAAAGGAAATCAGACAATGGGCCTAGAAAACAATGAACTGGCACTGCTTCGTTATACTTCCTATGAGAACGAGGATCTGTGGAAGAACTCCAGGCATATTTTCTGCTGGCAGCTAGCTATGTTCTCTTAGCTTAGAGTCTGTGACCACTTACAGACTGTGACCAGTACTGAGGAGGGTGAAGGGGCAGGGAAATGAAGAGGTGAAAAATTGGTATTAAAGCTGGAGAATTCTGATGAACTTCTGCAAAATTACCATTTCCCAAAATGTTTGCACCTTATATGCAAGGCTGAAATAATTTATGTGAACAGTGCACTAGCTGGACAGCAAGAAGAGAAAGGACTATAGTGGTTCTCAGCATGTGCTATGTTCAAAATACTTCAGTTTCTCAGAATTCTATGCTTCCCCTGGGGCAGCTCACTGGCTTGCAGTCCTACTAGGGATAACTTCTGTGCTGCAGAGTACCCAAGAGGAAGCAGTACGGAGTAGTGCTAAGAGCACAGGATGTATCCTGTGATCCTATGATCTACACTGCAGTCATAGCCCAGCTTGCCCAAGTTCTCTGCCACTAACAAACTCTGAGTCCAGGAAGTCAGTTAACTGTGCTAAGCCTCCGTCTCCTCATATGCAAACTGGAAAGGGTAATAGTCCTTGTACCTTGTACCTCATGGGGTAAAATAAAAATATGCAGGTAAAACACACAGTGCCAGGCACAGTAAAAACAGTCAATAAAGTCATTATTAAGAGAGAAATGTGTAGGCAGAAAGAATAACATACAAGAGAATATAATTTGAAAGAATTCCAGCTCTCGGTATCATGCTGGAGGCAACTCCTGTAGTGCAGAGTTGCAATGTGATGGCTGAGGCTTTGGAGCCAGGCCTCGCTTAAAAGTGCATGGTGTCTATGGCTACTGGGGACTTGAGCATAAGGTTGTCACTGGGGGAGCCAGTGCTGGCTTCCTGCCAATTTCATTGCATAAAAGACCGTTTTGGGGACTCAGCACTGCCAGCTAATTGATATGGAAACCGTGAGCTCCTCAGGAATGGAGCCTGAATGTGGGGCACTTAGTGAATTCCTACAGAAATGCCAGGATGGCCTTCAGTATCAATATTCCTTCTTGCAGGCTGGGGTTGCTAAGCCAATGGCTTGAGCAAAAGCAAGAAAGCAGTTTGAAGGATCAACTTGACCCGCTCACTTCCAACAATCTGAGTCTACCCTTAAGCTCATCAGAAGGATGCTAGGCCTGAAAGCACGACTTGCAACCCCCAAACCATATATCCCTGAATTTGACATCCTCCATCTCAAATTCTTAAGTAAACAGTTTCTGGCAACAATCAGCTTCTCTCTCTTCCTCCTTTCTCCGACAAGGTTATTCCTATCACATTACTTACACGGCTTTCTAGAATGTCGCCCATGACCTCTTAATTAAAACATCTAGTGGCCTTTTAAACTTCAAGTCCATCTTTTCCTATAGGTGGCATTCTCTTGTTTATTTAATATGTGAACTCAACCATGAGCAGAGCACCATGTTTGAAGTTACTGAGAGGCTGCAGAGTGGAGAGACATGGATAAAACTAGTCCCTGACTGCAGCAAACTCATAAGAGGAGACAAAAAGAGTAAATAATTAACTATTACAGAAATGAGTTTGGACTTTATTCCAATAGGCACTGCAAATTATTAAAGCTTTTGAAGGGGGATGAAATAATCCAAGCTGTGTTTTAGGAAGATAGCATTATCTCTTGCTGAAATGTGATGGGGGGATTAGCAGGGCAGTACACTGGAATCAGGCAAACCAGTCAGAGAGGTTATTGTAATCATCCCAGCAAGAGATAATGATAAAATGAACCGGTGAAGTGGCTAGGGAAATGAAAACAGGCTACAGGAGGGAGAATCACTGGAACTTGGAACCTATTTAAATGTGGACATTAGGGAGAGGGAAGAATGAATTAGAACTTTGTTGTTACTAATTCAAATGTCTGGAAAAGATGGCAGACTGCTCCTTTTCTGTGATAGGAAACCAAGGAGATTTGGGGGAAAATATAATGGGTTTTGCTTTTAGTTACAATGGAGTCAAAGTGTCTTATGAATGGTATGTGACATCTGAAATATGTTGAAAATTCGAACCTCCTCTCAGAATTATTGTCTGAAGCTATAGTAGAGAATAAGATAACTAAGACAGAACATACAATACAAAAGCTGAGGAGGTGATCAGCTTCTGTCTTCCTATTTCCCTTTCTTCCTTTTTTCTCAATTACCTCTATCCCCCCCAAAACAAAACATTGTACATTCCGAGAAAAGCAGCAACCTGACAGAGTAAATGCAAACTGATCATCGTGTGTGTTATCTTTTTTTATCTACTTGCTGTTCTTCAGAAATAAATTCACCATTTATGAGCTGAAACTAAAAATCTGCGTTGTCAGATCCGTTCTTCTGGGACTGAACTCCTACTTGATAGTAATTTTCCTCATCTATATTAAGCATCTAGAAAGGGCTATCTAGGAAAACAATTAGTGTGGAGCTCTAATTCAGGCCATATTATTGTGATTACTTTTAATATATCTCAGTGACTAAACAATAAGTCTCAAATAGCATCTCATGTACAGTTAATAAGACCTATGCCACCACTTTTGAAATCATTATATCTGAGAGCAGCAGAGATTAGTGGTTAAGAGGTCAAAAATGTAGATTTAAATCCTGCTTCTTCTGCCATTGGCAACTGTGTGTGATTTTGTACAAACTATTTAAATTGTCACTGTGTCAGGTCCTTCATCTGTAGAATGTTGAATAATACTTAAAGAACTTTTGTGAGGATAAACAATAAATGTCAATTGCTTAGAAGAGCAGAGTACCTTTTATAGTAAGCACTACATGTGCTTGAGAACATTCTCAGCCTTTTGACCAAAACAAACATTTGAAGTATCATATATTTATTTTAAGTATCATATATTTATTATAAGACCTTTTTTCTTATGTGCAGGCTGGGGTTGCTAAGCCAATGGCTTGAGCAAAAGCAAGAAAGCAGTTTGAAGGATCAACTTGACCCGCTCACTTCCAACAATCTGTTGGAAGTCATCAGTTCATTTTCTATATGGGCCCTCTTAACTTTTCATCAATGAGTAAAATTCACGTAGCCACACAACTGACCAGAGACACAGCACTGACCTATCTGATGTCTAGGTGCATCTGAGGATAGAGGGCAACACCAGCAGTTTCCATATTGATTAAAATACCTATCCCAGACCCTTTAAAGCCAGCTCTAGCTTTTCATACCCTGATCTTGTCTTCATTTGAATAGCAATGATTTCTTCCATTGACAGCTTTCCCTCTGACAAGAGGAGCTCTTTGAATCAAAGAGCTGGAAAGGGTATATAAATAGATCACCTAATAGGTCTTCTCACCTGAGAAAAGACCAACCGTGGCCCTTTCTTACATTTAAAAATCTGTATTTTATTATTCACAATGGCCCCAAACCGGAAACAATTAAAATACCCACGATCAAGTGAATAGGTAAGCAAACTGTGGAAAAGCCATACCATGGAACACCACTCAGCAATAAAAGGGAATACATTGTTGCATCAAATTAGATGAGCCTCAAAATAATTATGGTAAGCTACAGAGGTCAAACAAAGATTATATGCTATATGACTCCTTTTAAATAACATTCTAGAAAAGGCCAATTCTCTCATTTTATAGGAATTTGAACACAATTTCTCAATCTCTCAATTTCTCCTGTGGGGTGGACTAACAGGCATGCAAAGGGTACACTATCCAGACAGAGAATGTTTGCCTAAGGGACAATCATAAAGTGTTCCCACTAGGTGGGAACTGGCTGCTGTTTATCATATTAAATGATAAGCATGAACAGTTTACTGAAAACAGTGATTGCATGGAAAATTTCTACCTGCTGATTTAAAGAAATATGATTTACATTAAACCTATCTTATGGGAGACAATAGATGCTGGAAATAAATTCATCTGAAAGGGGGGTCCCCCAAAACTGAAACCCTTCCAGGAAGGAACAAAGGGGACCGTTTCTTTCCTGCATTTTGACCTAGAGTCTATTCTAAAGAGAATTTCAGCAGGAACTTCCCAGCTCCAGGAACCCTGGCTTTCTGACGTTTTCTCAGATTACACCTCTTCATGAGCTGCATCTTTCTAAGTTTCTGCCCAAAGATGACAAAATTCCCCCCGCATCTCCTTTTCAGTGCTAGGGTTTCATGAATTACCTCTGAGCAAACAGTGAGGACAGGTGTTTTCGTAGGAGCTAGCAGCTAAAGTTACACTTAATTCAACTTAATCTGCCTACTAACTCCTTGACCATCATCTAGCAGGGCTGGCTCTCGTTGCACTCTGGTAGTGTACGGGGATGCAGTGAGCCCACATTTCTCAGAAAACAAAGACTGGTAGGCCTACGCCCATGAGGACCTCAAAATCAAGGCACAAGCGACTTCAATCTATTTCAGATTTACAGGGGATAGCTGGAGACAAGCAGAACACAATCAAGTAATGGACAATGTCTTCCTGGAGAAACCACCAGGCTACCTCCTAAGCAGTGACCTCCCTCTGATTTGGTACGAGCACTCAAAGGTAAAGGTATCTGCCAACCCCTCCACACTCACATCCCAACTGACAGTCTGACAAGCACTTCCAGGATCTGCTGGCTCACCAAATTTAGAATGGTAAAAATAACATGGCGGTGTTTAATGACTCTCTAGAGAGAGATCTATCTGGGTGCAATATGCTAGAGCCTACCTTAGATCCCCAATTCCAGACCCAGGCAGTCTGGATGGCCAGCAAACTATATCACCTTCTGATCTGAATTTACTTCTTTTTGTTGTTTCTTCCCTTCCCAACTGATGATTCTGAATGGCAGTCCCACAAACAAACTGGATAAGAACACCATTTCCTCCAAAGTTCAATAATTCACGTTCACAATGTCGAAAGGGGAACAAAGAAGAAGCAAAAGGTGAACACCCCAGGGCCTCCCTGGTGGTGCAGCGGTTCAATCCCTGGCCAACACTGAGGGTCCCACATGGCGCGCAGACCTCTCCTGCCGCCGGCTGCTCCCCTCAGCAATGTACTTCATCAGTCTACCTGTCCTGTTCCCCACTCTGGCTCTGGTGAATCCTCTCACCCTCCTGTGCCTCTGACTGTACCCAGTGCTTGAATAAATAAATAAATAAAATCTTTAAAAAAAAAAAAAAAACTCTAAAATTTAAAAAAAAAAAAAAAAGGTGACCACACCCTGCCACATCCTCTCCCTCGCCAAGTGGAAAATGGTCGCTTACATATGAACTCATAAGTGAACTCAGGGGCACAGAGAATGCGGCCTTCAAATACAGACCTTCTCTAAGGGCAGGGATGGATTCATGTTCAGCACCACCTCAGCCTCCCTTGCACAAGCCAGACCTAGCAAATGGCAGCAGCCGCCCCTGAGTGACATTTAGTTTCTAAGTGGCATTTCTCTGGAAAGGCTTACACTCCAGTCCTGGGCTAAACAACACCACCTACATATGTGACTGAAAGAATTGGTGGCCTTGGTGAGGGAGGTGTGCAGATGTCCAGTGGACCCCATCTGTAATCAGCCTGGCTTCTGGAGAAAGCTGACCTATAATTCCATTAAGTTCAAAAGCAAGATGAATTTTCAAATCCCTGACCCTGTGTCTCCACAGTTTTCAATCCCCCCATAACTAAGTGGGGAAAAAACACACTTAAGCCAAAACTGGGAGAATAACAGAATATTACAGAAAAAAAAAACACTGAAAATCTATTAATAATAATAATTAATTTGTCAATCATTTCTGAATAGTAGCAGCTGCCTTTCTGTTCTCCACCCTGCACAGGCTCTTCTGGCTGTGACACTCCACCAACCAACCACTCACCGCTGAGCAGCTACGGTGGCAGCAGCATCCAAAGCAAAATGTCTCATCACATTCTCCTCCAAGTACTTCTGCTCCCACTTGGTCATATCAGCTTCCAGGGCGAGGATCCTCTCCTCCTTCTCACGCAGGAGCTCCATCAGTGCAGCAGCATTGTATTCTGAAATGTTGGTGGGCTGAGAGTTGCCCTGGCGCTGTTGGGGGAGATGTCAAGACACCCCATGTTAGAACCGCGGGGACGGAGTCCCATTCGGACAGTCCCCATTCTTGGAAAGGATGTCTGCCCGAGTTACTTCAGTTTGACTTCTGATTCCTCCGAAGGCCACAGGACTTACTATCATGAGCTGGAATTGCAGACGCCCTTGATCAGGACAGACGCCACATCAAATTGTGACTCAGCTCGGAAAGTGAATCAAGGGTTTAAAAACCTCTGTCCCCACCTGCCTGCCTGGTACACAATAGAAATGGGATTTGAAAGCTACGATTTGGTTCCAGTCTTGCCCCAGAATTGTATGTCCTTAACTGAATCAGACCACCTTCTCGGGGTCTTGAATGTAAGAATGTAAGAATGAAGTGGGAGATGGCTACATGATTCTAAAGGCCATTTCCACTTCTAAAATACTAGGATTCTGTCTTACCATGTTCACTTCTTACAGAGTCTACTGTTTCGGGGATTCATAGGAAAAGAAAAGTTGCAAGATAAGAGGCATTGAGGGGGGCCTCCTTGGTGGCCTAGGGGTTAAGTCTCAGCACTATCACCATGAAGGCCTGAGTTCAGCTGGGGAGCTAACCCACATATGGTGCAGCAGACCACTCCTGTCTTGCCCACTGCTCCCCTTAGCAGTGTATTTCAGTACATCTGACTGTTCTGCTCCCCACTCTCTCTCTGGTGACTCCTTTCACTCACACACATACACACACACACACCGTATCTCTGGTAACACCCCAGTCCAGTTTTTCTATGCTAAATAAATAAATATTTTAAAAAAGAGGCATTGAGGATTTGGCTGGGATAGAAAGCTAAGGAAGTAGGCTTCGACTACAAGTGGGAGGCACTTTGGAGCATGATCGGGTGAGGCAAAAAACTAAAGGGGTTGAGATGCAACCTATGAAGCTATTCGCAGCCACTGCAGCACGAGTTCGATTCCCGGCCAGGGAGATACCCACATGGTGCAGCAGACCTCTCCTGACTTGCCCACTGCTCCCCTCAACAGTGTGTTTCGGTCAGTCTGCCTGTTCTGTTCCCCACTCTGTCTCTGGTGAATCCTCTCACCTCCCACACCTCTGGCCTGTACCCCAGTTCTTGTATGAATAAATAAATAAATCTTTAAAAAAAAACAAACTAAAGATGAGCAAGACTGTGGTTTTTGTGTCGTGTCAAACACCAACTGAAAAACAAGCAACTGAAAATAATCTCATTTTCTTTAAGTTCTCCTTACCTGCTGAATTCTGAGGGATTCCAGTTCCCTCTCCAGTCGTGTCCGGAGACGGTGCTCCAACTGCTCACGTTTTTCACAGGCTGCCTGGAGCTGTACAAGGGCCTGCTGCATCTTCTCCACCTTATCGACATACACCTGCTTCTTTTTCAGCTGAAAATCCAAATTGGGACAGTTGGGAGATGGAAGGAAAGAGAACAATAAGGAGGCTTATGCATCCCCCCACCCCCAATGCAAGGTGCATTTCATCTCTTCCTGGCCAGCTTTAAAAAAATGAATGGTGAGAAGGTCCTTCACGATGACTAACACACTGTCTTATAGTATCATACATAGACGTGACCAGCCTAGGCATTGGAGCGCCCTTTTAATCGCCTCTTCTGTCCTCCAATGACATTCCCATCAGTAGTGTCTGTCTTGGATGGCAAACTTTTAAGAGAAGATTTTTAAGGTTTCCATTAATGAATGTCTTTATCTCTGTTCTTCTTCACTCTAAACTAGAATGTTCTGGGAGTAGGTATATCTTAATTTTGGTCGTTGCAGTAGGGAAATGTTAATTTAAAAAAGAGGGACTCTCTAGCTCAAAAATCAAAAATTTCATTTGATACAGAAAGGAAGCCCACCTCCCTATACAGCTGCCTCTTCTCTAAGTGAGAGAAAATGGCTGGACTGCTGCTGAAGGTACAAGGAGCTTAACATCGTCTTTTTGAAATCTGTGACCCTGGTAATTACCTAATATAATCAAATACTGCTCTGCTGGAAAGTCTCTGCTCCTCAAGATTGCAGGAGCCAAGCAATGGTTTAGTCTCGCGACTAGCACTGCCTTGCTGGTTCTTTACTAAAAGATCACAGCTTATTTGCCATTTCTGCCTCACTCATGGGCCTAAGTTGACAAGATGGGACTATAATTTCTCAATTTTCCTTCTAGGACCTTTAATGATCCCTAAAGACTGCAACTGAATGAATCAAATCTAAGACTGAATGAGTTAAACATGAGCCACATCCAAAAGCAAAGGTGGATGCACAGTGGGACTAAGTATTTGAATTCTTTTATTCTCTTGTAATTTACAAGCAAATCCTGGCTCCTTGGGATTGAAGGAATGAGGAAGAGCTCGGAGCTCTTTAAAGAAGAAGGCCTACACCCTGAACCCGAGCAGATAGGGAAAAGGGCAGCTTTCCCAACCAGTTAGTAAATGAGCAGATTATGTTCCTCAGAATACATGAGGGCACCTCTTTGCTAAGAAACATCAACCCGTATACTCTTCCTAAGGCAGAAATTCTTCCAAGTTGGTCACATTCTTCCAAGTCTATTGTTATCACTTTCATGTTAGCTGAGATTAGGAATACTTTCACTACTAAGATTGAAATCTGAAAATACTCACAATCAAATCAAAGGAAAATTCAGAAATTCAGCTCAACTCTAACTTTTCAACAAATTCCTAAGCCCTTGATCTATGTGGATAGATAGTGGCAATGTAAGACGGTGCCCTGTCTACCAACATGGCCCGCACCTACTTAGCTGGGTCAAGCCACCTGACTCCCCTATTGCAGAAGTCAGGTAACTCTTTAATGGTAATGAGTCCAAATCACTGCTATCTAGAATATCCAAGTCAGAGAGCACTGGCATGTACTGACAGAAAAACATTCCTTGTCTTATAAATATACTCTTCCCAAATTAGAATTACTGGACTTTCTCCAGGGGAGAAAGCCTATATTATATTTTCCTATCAGACCTGTGCTATATTTTACATAGGTAACTAGGAGAAGAAATCTTTCAATTTTTGTCTATACCTCCTTGACAATTCCTCTCAGTCCAAGGCCCTCTAGTTCAATCTAGTTTTATAAACCAGGTGAGGATAAAAGTTTTTATCCCTTAGATATTTTCCTAGGAAACAAACACACAAAATTATTATTCTCTTTCTCTCAATAGGTTTAATATTATTCTCTTTCTCTCACATATTCTCTCCTGGACAATGTGACGATCTGTAACAACATGGACCAGGGCAATCGAAACTTTTAGGCAATGGAGGCTTATGTGCTAAGCTTTGAATAATTGGAGAGGAGGAAATATCCTCTATCCTTCTTCACCTTTTGGATTCTATAATCCTCATGAGCTATTTAAAGTTGAATGCATTTATTTGAGAATAGCTCTGAAAACCCTAGGGGAGCATTGCAATGTTAATGCAGAGAATGCTAACTATAATTACTGAGGCTTACAGCAGTTATACTTAAAGGCAATTAAACTTAGATAGCATGCAGTTCTTGCCTTGATGGCAAAGTACTGCAATGCAAGCTCCAAGAACAGAAAAACAAGCAGTCCAGGGCCAGGTGGATTTCTCCATACTCGGCCTTTCTTGAGAAAGAAAAATCTTAATATCTTAGCAAAAGCACCGCCGGCAATAGAAGTCACCAAGCCAACCTTCTGGAAGGGAAAAACAATAAAAAAAAAAAAAAAAAAAAAAAAAAGCCCAGGGAGTTTTGTGACTTGGCTGGAGATAGATATGCAGGTCAAGAAAAATCCCATTGTGCTTTGCCCCTGGGATGACTTTCTACAAGATACCAGAACTGCTGTTGCTGGCAAAATTCTCCTACCTCCCTCAAAAGAAGAAAGAATGATGTTCACCCATAAACACCATGATCACCTGAAGTAAATGCTTAATTCTTAAATAAATTGGGTAGGAAAGCACAGCTTTTGGGTGCTACCAAAGCAAGACCCTATATACGCAATCAACAAAATCAGATACCTTCTACATAACTATGCTTTTTACATCCCATCTAGCTATGCAAAGGAACAAAAGTCTATGTAGTTTATTGATTCCTCTATTATATGCTTCACTTTTACCTTCATCATGATACAACCCTTTTCTGCTTCTCCTGTATAAACTCTCTTCTGTGCTAAGATCCTCAAATGTTAGGTTAGGATACCCTGGGTCCCCACCTTCACCTCCAATGCCATTAAAAATGTCAGCTGTCCTTCCTTAGGTGAAGACAGAGACAGTAAAATGATTAAGGTCATTAGCTCTGGCCTCAGAATGCCGAAGCCAGGATGGCAAATCCTGGCTGTCTCCTACTCGCTAAGTATGCAAACTTAGCCAGGCTGTTTAATCTCCCTGTGCTTCCATTTATTCATTCATCTATAACATGGAGATAATAATGCTGTGTTCTATCTCTATACTGATCAAATGAGGTAACACATAAAATCCTTAATAGAATGTCTGGTACAAACAGTACTCAAAGTTGTTTTTCTTTTCAAGAAAAAGTTAATGCCAAGTCACATACGTTCTAGCCCTCTTAACTTTGAACATTCACTCCAGGATAGCCTTGACATGGTTCTCATGCTCTCAATACCACAAACTATCACATCAATATCTACCTAAGACATGAAAACAGAGCTATCTGCCCCAGGAAGACAATGTAATGCTAAGCCCCAAACAGAGCTATAGATATCTTTATGGTACAAAGACTTCACTGTATCATTGGAGGTACAATTAGAAGCAAGCACCTTTCTTTTCTGGGATATGGAGGCCTCTATCTTCCTATTCGCGCTATCAAAATGACGTGACTTGTGGTCATTTCCACTTTATAAGAAACACTTATGATCATGCATATTGTTTACCTAAAGACCCTTAGAAAGAGCTCACCCCTTCACATACACATAAACATAAAGCTACACAAATTAGAAATTGTATTTGAGAGCAAAATGAAAAGTAAGGGGACAAGATGGTAATCAGAAAATTTTGATTCTAGTCCTAGCTCTGTTCTAAATGGTAACTTGCTTTCTTGTTCTTAGTCTCAGATCCCCCATTTGTTTAAAAAAAAATGAAGGGTGGTTTAGGAGTTAGAAAACCCTCTTACCTCGGTTCCATCATCTATCAACACCTGACACTTCAGCAGGGTTAAGTAATGTAAGGTTTCCGAGGACCCCTTGCTGATCACCCTGCATACCTTTGGGCATGCATCCCTCTCTTAGGAACACTCTGCCCACTAGTTTAAGTTAAAAACAACAACATTGGGATAGACAGAAAATTGCAGACCATCTCTAGTAGTCTTTCTCTTTCATTGTGTGTTTTTTAAAGATTTATTTTATTTACTTTATGCATAGAAGAACTGGGGTGTTGGCCAGAGGTGCAGGGGGCTGAGAGTACTCACCAGAGACAGAATGGGGAGCAGAAAAGGCAGATCTACTGAAATACACTGCTGAGGAGAGCAGTGGGTGAGAGCAGAGGTCTGCAGCACTATGTGGGTATTTCCCTAGCCAGTGCTGAGACTTTAATGCCTGTGCCACCAGGGAGGCCACTATTGTGTTATTTTTTGAGGTAATTATGCTTTACAACATTGTATATGATTTGGGGATATAGATTCATACTTCTTCAGATGTATATTACACTGCTATGCAAGTACTGCTTTAATTTGTGTATATGTACATCCAAAAGATTGAACATATAATGTGTGTACTCTCTATAGGAACCGAGATTATTTATTTTTCTGTCTTTAGTGTTCTAGAAAATGAAAGTCCACTTGAAAAGTTTCCAAAGCCAAGATAGCAGCTCAGGCTGGAGATTAGTACCACGTGCCTCTAGAAGAAGTCAGGTAAATACATTATTTACTCAAATTTCCCTGGATATTCAGTGAATGGAGGAAAAGTTTTCTTTCCAAATATCGATTTTCAAAAATTGTTAAAACTTCCTTCCCATGGCTTCCTTAAGCCTAAGTCTATGTTCTCCAAATGCTGTTCCTTAAATCACTTTTAATTTTGGTCTTGAAATTCCCTCACATCCCATGTCCTGCTGCACCCAAGGTCCAATCTATTGTAATCTACTCTTTTGCCTCTATACTGATAGTTCCTAATGTATACCCTATTAGCAGTGATTTTGTATGATTTAATTCATATGTGGATTCTTTCATTCATTCAAGAGGTATTTATTGAATTTTTATCATGTGACAGGTCTTATTCCACATCTAAGAGCAGTAATGATGTAATGGGAAATAAGACAAAGTCCCTGCCCCATTGTAGGGCAGTATCCCATAGTCACTTAAGGGCAAGGCCCTTCTGTTTTCCTTTATATCTCTCCTAGGTTCTAGTTATAGTTTATTGTTCACTACATTCTTGGTAACCAGTTACTATTAAATAACTCTCTAATACAAGAATAAAAATG